GCTTACATATGAGGACCGAGGGATTGGCATCCACAGTTTGGATACCTTGGAATCCTTGCACCTGGGGACAGAGATAGTTAATCCACAGTTTGGGAGTGCTTACAGAGAACACACTTGAAAGATCCAACAATGTTTGCCTAAGTGCATGCCTTGTCTTCCGGACCTTCTTGATATTTCCCCTATAGGGCTTTCTTGAAAGGCCAATCCAGGCAAGCAAAGTTCTGTCTTTGCTTCTCCGGATCAATCTCCAAAGAATGCTTTGCCGCTTCGCCCTTTCATGATCCAACCTCCCTTGACAAGGGTGGCTGTAGAACAGCTGCAACTATTGGGCCAACAACAATGTTCTTTCCAGTGCAGCCATCCAAGATGTTGATTCTTATATAGGAAACCCCGACTAAGCAAAAACATGGTTACGGACAATTGCGCGAATTGTCGGGCAATTACGCCGAATTATCGGAGATTTACGCCGAATTATCGGGCAATTGCGCCGAGATCTAGGGATGACAAAACTTTGGAAAACTGTGAACAACTTGACTGCCACGATTTCACGCAAGGGTGACCGGTTGGTTCACGGTGAGTTTATGTTGAATTATACATGGTCCATGCACAGTCCACTAACTTTCACCTTGGTGATGGAATCAAATCTTTACATTCACCGAATATGTTCAACAACAGCTTTGTGCCACTGCAATAATTAATAGGAAATCAGGGAAGAGGGTTGCCTCGGGCCACAGAAACCATTTGGCATTTCTGCCAGGCCTTCTCTATTTCTATAAGTTTAATAAACGGTTTCCTTGATCAGATCCATGGCTGGATTTGAGTCTTTACAATGAATCCCTAAGCCAACAATGCTTGGCAAGAGGTAGGAACTACTGAAGAAAAACACTGGGCGTGAACAGCCAGAGCGCACCTCGAGAATGCCCGGTTCACCAGGTATTTGATCCCTAGAGGATTGTCGAGCCGAGTTATCATGAATCACCACAACCCGGATTGGTTCTGCATCGAATCAACCAATCAATATGTTCAAGAACCTCAAAAACCAAAAACGCCGAGTCTATCTTGGTTTTAGCAAATTACGCCGAATGCCCTTTTTCAAGGCAAATTGCGGGTAAAGGCGCTTTTTGCTGAGGTGGCAGAAATTTTGGTGCATTTGGAGTCTCTAGGTGTGTGTACTGAGAGAGATACGACACGTGGAGGCGTGCTGCAATCGGACTGCCCAGCAGCGCTGCATTGTCGGCGATGGAAGCGTCATACAGGGTTGGCAGCAGAGAGGCAGCTGGAACGAACGCGAAACGAAACGAAACGAAACGAAACGCGAAACGAAACACGAAACTAGGTCTCTCTGGAAATTGCTGCGGTCTCTCTGCTTGAGCCACCGCGCGCATCGCGCCACGGACTCGATACTCTAACCTCAAAACACACAACGAACACGAAACGAAACGTGCCTAAACCAAACTAAACGAACCTAAACGAAATGGACACTTCCATCCCAAGTGGTGTGTTGAAACTTCTTGCCAGTACATTCTTCATGCTCTTGCCTTGCTGTATGTTCCCGGCTACCGTCTGTGGAGAGTTGCGCGATCTTATTTTGAGACTGCTGCGGTCTCTCTGCTTGAGCCGCCGCGTACATCCCGCCACAGCCTCGATA